TGACTCCAAAGAGAGTCGAAACGTCCAAATACAGAAGACTTTAAGCTAACATCTGAGTATGGTTTTCACCTATCTTTGCGCCGTTCAACGTTGCTTGACTCTCATTAGCCTAATTTAGTCATACTTTTAATTTGTCTTATCTTTAAATTACATTAAATTTAACTCTGATCTGTACTTTTCAATTGTTTGAATCTAAATCTAAATCTTTTCATTAAATTAAATCACATTGCTCATTTGTTGAAAATGCATCATTTTTAATTTCTTTCTATGTATAATTCATAATACAATTGTATAGAAAAGTTTAAAATGTATCTAGCAAATTGCTTACCATCAAAAAAATCCATGGCAGGATCAATTTTTGGAGTAAGAAATGCTATGAATAAATTGAGGTGATAAATTCCTAGTGCATATGTGACAATATACCACCCCTGTAAATATGAAAGTGTTTCTGTAGTACCGTGTGATACAATTGTAAAGAACTAAGTTTGCACACAATTTAATAGAAAATACCGTACTTGAGAGATAAATATACGTAGAATAAAAAGTACTAATAAGAATAAAGCAAATGTCCAACGCGATATTACATGAGGAGTCCATAGATCTAGGTATCTTTGATATATCTGAAATGGAAGAAAAAGAGATTTTATAAATTATAGTATGGTATTTTAATAGAAGAAAATATAAAACTGAATAATTGTGTGTATATTATATAAAATATTAAATATTATATATATATAGTTAAATATTAAATATTATATAGATAAAGTGTTTATATAAAGGATTATAAACTCATATTAACCTGTGATATTCTTATTATCCCTTGACTGAAAATATTTTTTCTCACTGAGCTACCCAAGTCTTCATCCTGCATCATTTTCTCTCACTGCAAACATAAGACTTTATTGCAATTAAATGTAAATTAATATGAACCAAAGTAGCCCTGCAAAATGTTATTTATAAAAATCAACTTTGTTGCACATATATACAATAAATATATTGTATACAAATAGTAAAAAATTAATTATATAAATAATATTCATAAAAATTGATTTATATATCAATTAACATTGTCTATCAAACTCGGATAGGATTTTTTTTTCTTCTCTATGAAAAAAAATATACCTATCATGTTGTAAACAAATTTTGTAAGTAGAAATGAAAGTCTTTAAAGATTATCCCCGACGTATCTTCCTGTTTATATAGCCGTTAAATATAATTTCTTATAAATGTTAAGTGATATACTCATGCTTTGTTACAATTGATATTGACATCATTCTGAATCGAATTTATAGCAATTACACTCGTTTC